TTTTGCTGTGGCTGTTTGTAGTTAGCGCCGCTTAGTTAGCCGCTCAACCGCAGCAGTATCGTGCAGATGGAGGGGCAGAGCGGACTTCACACTTGTTGATACCTCTCTGGAACTCCGGCTTGCTGTAAAAAAAACATCACAGGTACGGCAGTACGCCGTCTGTGGAAAAAGACAGACAGACTTCTATTAACGGACACACTGTGACCCACACTGTACATCTACTGCCAGACTGACAACTTGTTGGTTTGGGGTGAGACAGCTGAGAATGAGACAGCTGAAACCCGTGTCTTGCACACGTCTGTGCTGGTGGTTCTTGAAGCACTGACTCCAGCTGCAGTCCACTCTTTGTGAATCTCCCCCACATTTGTGAATGGGTTTTGTTTCACAATCTTCTCCAGGGTGGGGTTATCCCTATTGCTTGTGCATTTTTTTTCTACCTTCCCTTCGCCTCTCTACTAATGTGCTTGGACACAGAGCTCTGTGAACAGCCAGCCTCTTTAGCAATGACCTTTTTGTGTCTTGCCCTCCTTGTGCTATAAGTGTTTTTCGTCTTTTGGACAGCTGTCAAGTCAGCAGTCTTCCCCATGATTGTGTAGCCTACAGAACTAGACTGAGAGACCATTTAAAGGCCTTTGCAGGTGTTTTGAGTTAATTAGCTGATTAGAGTGTGACACCAGGTGTCTTCAATATTGAACCTTTCCACAATATTCTAATTTTCTGAGATTCTGATTTTGGGATTTTCATTAGTTGTCAGATATAATCATCAAAATTAAAAAGAATGAACACTTGAAATATATCAGTCTGAGTGGAATGAATGTATACATTATACAAGTTTCACTTTTTGAATGGAATTACTGAAATAAATCAACTTTTTGATGATATTCTAATTATATGACCAGCACCTGTATTTCCTTTGGTTGTGCCATGCTTTTTGGCCTGATCTACACACTCAACCTGAAGTATCTTCCAGAAGGTTTTGATGAACTTGGATGGCAACAAATTGTCCCCAAAGGTGCAAATAAAGATTAAGATGCGTCAGTGAGCTCACAAGAACAGTGCTGGATAGTTGAGCTTGGCTTGCTCATTGTTGTTGCTGTGCTTGGGGAATTTTTTGTTTTTATGTAACTGTTGATGTTGGAATTGTTCAAACTGATATTGGATACTCATATTTTAAACGCTTTGAGTATTGTATTGAAAAAAGGCTCTTTGAATGGCAAACAATTTTTTAAAAGATTATTTTAAAATTAATTTTAAGTTACTGAATACAGTAGAAATACTTATTCTGGTGGAAAACCTTTAATTTTTAATTTCTTTAGCCTTTATACTACCGTCAGGTTTACTGGAAAACCTTGTGCACTTTGCCATTAGACGATTTTTTTGAAATCTGTCAATAAAATTTTCCATTTATAGTTCTTGAATGTGTTGCTTTGTGATTTATTACAGGAAATATAATAACTAATTTGAAATGCATTATGTACATATAATACATATATGAACATAATGTTTATGTAGAAGTTTCCCTAAACTTTATTTTAGTACTTGAATAAACACGTAAGATTTATGTAGAAATTCCCTTAAACCTCATATGTAGTAATTGAATAAAGACATAATGCTTATTTATAGGTTTATATTAATTTAATCAAATCTGACAAAGTTATGTCATTTATTCAAACTGACTTAACATGATAGAAAAACATTGCATTACATGTCACCTTTTACATTGAACTTACGTAATAATATTAGATGAAAAATTTACATGTAATTAAAATACTTAAAGTCAATGTTTTAGGGATAATTAGTTTTTTGAGTGTACACATTTTGAATTAAAAAAGATTAATAAAACATCCACACTTTAAGAGAAAGAAAATATCACAACAACCTCAGAGAATAACAAACAGTCACTGTGATCTGGCATCTAGTGATCATTCAGTGATTCAGAAAAAGGAGACAGAAAAACTTGTTATTGGCCACATCCTCAGTAATCTTGTGGTACTGTGCAACTAAATACAGTGTGGCCACTTTTCCCAGAAAGCCTTTCAATAAACCCAAAGAAGATATATAGTGCAAACTTATCCAAAAGTATTACATCACCAAGTGAGTGAATGAATAAAACATCTGACACCAGTGAGCAGAGTGGGTTTCAACACTTAGAACAGATGAAATTAAACTTGTTATTATCCGGCTTTTTGAACCACTGATGTTGTCCTCCTCTGTCCATGGCTCCAGACATGCCACAGTCATCAGTCTTTTCCCCCTGTGCCCAGTTTGTATAGCTGACAACATCATTGCTGACCCAGAACCAGAAATCCAGAGTGCAGGTGTAGCGCAGTCCCAGCCAGACGAAATCAGTTGAGGCGTTCTTGGCTCTCTCTTGGACCCATCTCTGCTGGTGACGGTTAGTGATGGAGACCAGGTCACTGTAGTTCTCTCTGCAGTAATATGAGGCCTCCTCCCAGGTCTTACTTTCTTTGATCAGGATCACTTTATCTGTCATGGAAGAAACTGAGACAAACACAGGATCATACCAGCAGCTTTGTTCAGTTAGTTGTTGGGAACACTGGGATCCAATATGGATCTTCAATACTGAAATAAAATGTTTCAGGTTTAAGTGACTGCTTGTGTGTTTGGGGCTAATGACAAATATCTTTAAATATGTTAAGAACTTCTTAAGTAAGTGACATTTTATTTTAAAGGAAGCCATGTCATGCTCAATAATAATAAATGATCAATTAACCAATACTTTTAAAAGAAAGTAAAAAATAAACAGATGTAGCTTGTGTACATCATCCTGGACACAGTCCAGATGAAAAGACTGTGTTTCAACAAAATTAAAATAAAGTATAAATACTGTAGATTCAGACGGATTTTCCAACTGATTCCAGTTCAGCTCCTATAAGAGAAAACAGTTGAGACAGACGTTTGCAAAACTCACCGTCATAGCAGAAGAAGGGTTTTGTTTCATGCAGTCATCAGAGCTCCATTTTCCAGATCCATTTAACTCAGTCATGGCACATTTATTATCTGGCTGATTCAGATCCCAGTTTCTGAAAGAGAAACTGCTCCCATCTGACCACGTCCAGGAGTCTCTGAACAGGCCGATCCACACCCACATATCTTTGTTTACAGACTGGATGTCTACAGCGAGTTTTTGTGACATGTCTTGAAACTGCTTTAGTCCACTGACCAGGTCTGTGTAACGCTCCCTACAGTATTCTTGAGCCGCTGGCCACTTCTTCTTCTTTAATCAGATGGTATTTGTCTGTTGCATTATTTTCTGTGGAGTAAACAGGCAAACTTGCATGACCTTATAGTGTACATGTACGTCTTTTGAGCAAATACATATTTGCCATGCTAGTAGCGTCATGGCTCCGTGGATGGTAATGTTGGTTGAGACTGAAATCTCAAAAACAATGAAATGGATGGCCTTGAAATTTTGTGCAGGCATTTATGGTCATCACAGGATATATTGCAATAACTTTCATGATCCTCTGACTCTTCATCTTGCTCCATCATCAGCTCAACTTTTTTTCATCAGTTCAGTATTTTGGTTTACGACTAAAAACATGTAAAACTAATGACATTCCTTTCATCCTAAGCTGTGCTTTGTGTTTAATGCTAATTATTAAATCTAACATGCTAAACTTAGATGGTAAACATGGTGAACATTATATCTGCTTATTATCAGCATGTTAGTATTGATGTCAAAGTGTCAGGTGCGTGCTGACTTTAGCGTGTAGCCCATAGCACTGTAGTGCCTACAGCTTCTCAGAGCCACTCTTATTGTTGTAAGTAAATGAAGAGATGAGATATCACATCTGAAGATAATGTTATATGATCAAATATTAAATTTAGACAGTAGGGATAACACATATTCTCACCATCATAACAGATGAAATAACTCTCATGTCCACAAGACCCATCTCTCCAATTGCTATTCTTCTGTAATAACACACAGTTCTCTACTCCTCCATATCATTCGGTTCTCCCGAGTTCCAATTTGTCTCGCTTTCTTTGAACTCCACTCCTGGCATAGACCAGTGCCACGTCCTGTTGGATTGTGTTTGGTTGTACAGCCCAATCCAGGCTTCTCCTTGCTGCACTGTAGTGTCACTGAGTCTCTTCATGTCTGCCATGTTAGACACTGTGGCCAGGTCAATATAATTCTCTCTGCAATACTTCTGGGCTTCATCCAGGTCTTCTTCTCTCCAACAAAGTGATACTCATAGAGATGACATGCGAAGAAGGACCACTGACCTAAAAACAAAGGACATACTGTAGTGACTGAGCTGACAGCAAAAAATCAAATCCTGATTCACACCTACTACTTACTGTCACAACTCTGGACGTTTATCCAGCTTTTCCCTGCCCCCTGCCTCTTCCCCCTTGTATATGTGTGTTTGCATGTGTTGTAGGCACGGCTAACCTCTCCAGACACCTGGTTCAACTCCACATCTGACTTCAATCAGCTCATCAACCCTCAGGTCAAATACTCCTGCCACTTGTCACCAGATTGTCTCTGTGGTTCAGTGACTCGGTCTTGGACGATACTAATTCAGAGAACCTTCTCACTTAAACCTCTCCCTCCGTGTCTGTGTCTGCTTCAGGGTCCAGTTTTGTGATTTTACTTTTAATTTGATGAAAGAGTGAGCTGTTCAAATGTTAAACGAATGCATATTAGGTTGGTCAAATAATGTTTAGCTAAATAAATGGTATATGATCCACTTACCCATCAGAATGAGCAGAAACAGACTCCACTGCATCTTTGCTCTGTTAGAGGAAACTGATATTTTAGTGTGCAGAGAACCAAACACAATGACTTTACCAAATTGGGTCAGTTTAAAGAAAATACATGTGAACACTTAACTGTATGTCCAGATAAAATTAGGGCTGGGCATGTTAACGTGTTATTATTTTATTATTATTAGTTTGAAAGTCCGTTGCTCACTGGGTCTGAATACACATACAGTCAAACCATCGGTCACAGAACAGACTGTTTCTGCTGCTCCCTGATAAAAGATACCTGATGCTGATACCTGTTCAGAAAAAACAACATGAAAACTGGACTCTGATGGTAACTTGTTTTGACAAGGTAGATAAAAGGTAATGACCTGGCAGTGGAAAAGCTTTGGTTTAATATTTGATTTGATTACATAAATGTTTAAGTTGAGATTTACAAGAAATATTTTATTGCTACTGTGTGAAGGAATACTGCTGGTAAAATGCACATTATTTGATTAAAGTGTTATTGTCACATATTTTTACACTTTTGTGTATATAGCAGTACATTTAAATTAAAATTGCGCAATACACTACTTTAGAATTCATTATTTTCAAATAAATAAATCCTTTGGCAACCTGTCCATTCGCCTGGTGTTAGCTGGGATTGGCTCCAGCCTCCCGCGACCCTGTATGCAGGATAAGCGGTTGATGATGGATGGATGGATAAATCCTTTGTCTCTGAACAGCAGTTTGATAAGGAAGCAGAATAGAGGCAACTATGCAAACTGAGTTCAGATTCAGATTCATTCATTATTGTCCTCAGTGGAGGAAAGTTGTTTTCACAGTCTGTACAAAGAGCACCTTCAACATGAATACGACACACAAAATACCCATAGTACACATATGCAAATAATGTAAACATCATTAACTTGTCAGTGCAGTACAAAACTTTTTCAAAAGCGTGCCTTTTTGTAGAGCAGCTGTCTGTATCTACGGCCAGGTGGGAGAAGGGTGAAGCATGAGTTGAGAGGGTGGCTGGGATTTTGTACTATGGTAGTTTCTCTGCGAGCAGGGGCAGGATTAATGAGGGCTGGCAGGTTGGGAGTGTGAAGACCTATTATTGTCTAAGACCTATTAATATCAGTACAAACAGTGGTTAACTGTGAAATATCTTTTTGTAGCCCATGAAAATGTCTTTCAGTAAAATATAAATAATTCAAACAATTCTGGCATATTTTGTTTCTGTCTGGAGACATTTAATGTTCTGATTTTACAGGTACTGCCATAATTTCTGTTATTTTCCGTCAACCTTATAAGATACTGCTACAATTAAAGGCATTATGTATCAGGAGAGGGTGCGACAATAAATAAACCCCCAATAGAATAACACATAATTTAATTGTTCATTATACCTTATATAAGCCTAACGAAATAATTAGAATTAGTGTCTAGTGTCTACACCACAAAACTCACAAAAAATAGAATTTAAAAAATCGAGTGTCTTTTGTTTTGAGTCTAGGTTTAATTGAATTTTTGCATATTTATTTTAGAATAACACATCACCTAATAAAAAATACAGATATCTATTTATTAATTTTCACATTATTTCATTTATTTTCAAAGCATGCTGGAGACAGTAGGTAATGTTTTTCCAGACCTGAGTAGTGCTCCACCAAAAAGCCCCAAAAACCTGAACCTGAGAGGTAAAATCCAGGGCAAGAAAAAGTCCTGTAGACTCACAAAGCTGTGGGCGCACAGCTATTGAAGGATTATTGTATTTATTTGTCTTGTCCTGTTACTGTGTCCACCTTTTGTTAAAAATACTGAACATTGCACACAATTAGGTTTTTAAGAAATCATGTTATTATAAAACTGTGAAATCTACTGCAGAGATATAATATTGTGCTTCCACCTCTGCACAAACAATAAACGATATATTAAAATTAAACAACAGCATCATAACTCACATCTTCTGAGTCCTCGCAGCAGCTTCACTCTGGTGTCTCTCCTCATGTGCTGATGAAGACAACTGTCCAATATTGACCAGGGAGGTGCTCTCTTGTAGCCCCCTAATGTCATTTGAATAATGAAAAACACAAGTCTAAGCTGTCTTTCATAGTCAGGACAGGATCTACTGATGGCCAGAACATAATTTACATAATGTAAATTTACATCTTGAGGAAACAAAAGCACACTTCCCTGTTGACTGTCCAACAAACAGAAAGAAAGGTCTCGTTCCAAAACATCCACTAACAAGCAGAATAAATTTAAATCATGTTTTCTGCTTTGAATATACATATTTTTGCATTGTCAAAAGTTGTATTACATTTATTTTCATTTCTTGTATTCATACTCAAAAACATTGTAAACAATTGACTCATTTAAAGTTTATTTATCTTTTGATTAAAGCAAAACAGTTTTCCAGTTAAAGTCCATTTATTTGACAATGAATGGGTGTTTGGCTTCGGGTGTTCAGTATATTTGTACAAGTGTGATCCAAAGTACTAGACGTCTAAATGGCTCAGTAACTGTTCACATTGTTACTGTAAATTCTGCAATGTTTTATTGTGATTATTTGTATTATCTATGTAAATTTTACACATTTCCTAGTTTGCTAATAATAGCATGTTCACTTACATTTGTGTTTAAATACAAGGTTCATGGTGTCAAATTCAGCTTAATAAATAATATATCTACAGATACAGAACAAAGTAAACACCTTAACCAAGTAGTTTCTTCCAAACTCTTACTCTGATCTTTCCCCAGTTTAACTAACTACACTTGATTGTTAACTAAACCAAAGAACCGTCAGCATATGAATCATTTTTCTAACACATATGGATATTCAAAGGTGACACAACAAACAACTTATTTTGTCATTTTGTTTCGTGGAGTAGGACACATTGTTCAACATATCAGGTGGCTGCTTCTTCACACAGCTAAAATACAGGTTCTGGTTATCAGATCTCCTAATGTTTTAAGTGTGTACACTCTCAATATTATTTTCTGAGACACAGCGTTTCAAAGTGCAGGTAACACTGTGTGTGTGTGTGCAGAGAATAAGTTTGTATTTTTTGTTCTCCTCTCAGACAGCATATTTAATGTTTACAAGTCTAGACAAAACTAGAAGAAGAGTTGTGTTATGTACAAACTGGCTAACCAAACCAAACAAACTGGTTAATCTCTTGTTAAAATGCAGAACCACTTTACATCAATAATATTATCAGTCCTCCACTGAGGAAAATGTTATTGAGCAGCCGATAAGTGCCCATGCACTTTATTTGTTGGCAATTTGTAATACGTGTCTAGGATTAAAAGACAGGGGGGGGCCCCAGGCTATCCGTAACTTACACTTGCGAAATCTTTGCACTCACATCTTTTGTTACTGTATTAGAACTACACTTATGTCAACAACCAGTGAAGAAGCCACGATGTCAACAAATAAAAAGCAACAAAAAAAACTACGTTCTTCCATTTCTCCTCTGTTGAAGTTACTGTAATGTTACATGGGGTTTGGAAGCACAAAAAAAGTGGGTGCATCCTTCTCCAAGATTTTATAGATCTCTCACTCTCTCTCTCTCTCTCGATAGATAGATAGATAGATAGAGATATATACATAGTTTGTTTTAAAAATTTCAAACTAATTTGGATGTTTTCACAAGCTCATAATAAACCTGCAGCAGTTTAATGTTTTTTTCCCTTACTGTACCGAAAATAAACCGAACTGTGACTTCAAAACCCAGGTACATACCGAACCGAGATTTTGTGTACTGTTACACCCCTACTGTGTGTGTGTGTGTGTGTGTGTCTGTCTGTCTGTATGTAGTAACGTTGCTCTGCAGCTCAGCAGTGATGAAAGGCAGCCTCCTCCAGGGTCCTAGAGCCTGACGACATAAGGGATTTAAATTGTGAAGCAGAGGAAACAACCAGAAGGATTATTATGAGCCAATAAATACAAATTATATTTGTATTATTCTATTGTATCATTATTTTTGCTTTTCTTTGTTGAGTACACATCTGCACTATGAAAAAAGGAAAAAGAAAAATAGATCTAAATCTAATGATTATTTCTCTTCTTATTATTTGGGGGGCTTAGGACCATGTTAGGGTGGCTTCAGCCCCCCTAAAATATAAGAATATTTTATCGTTTTTAAATAGCTGGCTACTTTAAATAGACCTGCGTGGAATCGCTTTCGCGAAAATGCAAACCGCTATCTTTCGTGAAAACGTTAAGCAAGAATTCCTTCAGCAAGTTCATTTGAAGCTCACACAGGCTATAAGCATCAGAGGTTGGAAGTTGACAAACAACCCCTTGATCAGTAATTAAGCATGTAGTCTTAATATCAGGAGACTGACACCTCGGCAGTTCATCATGTTATCAAAAACAACAGTGGATATCAGTAGACCAAAGCATGCACTTGTCACAGCAGATTTTGAACGCCTGCAGCCTCCCCTGCTGTCATAAATCTAGATAACAGTTGAATAAGGTATGCATAGTCTCAGTGCCTACTGTCAATGCTCCCACAGTGAGCTTGTTACTGCATTCATGATTACAGCACTTCTAAGTACAAAATAAGACACATCTCGGTAATGTTCAAAGATTAAGAAGTAAGTTAAGGATAATTATAAACTGCCTAATAATGATTAATGCTAATTAAGGACAATAAAATGATTAAAAATGATGAATTAAGAATGATTACTTATTAATACTGATTAAAGATAATAAAATGATTGATTACAAATGATGAATTAAGAGTGATAAATGATTACTACTAATTAAGGATACTAAAATTATCAAAAATGATGCCCTGCCCTCTCCTGATCATGCTACTTTGACCAAAAACCTCACTTTGTGGAATAAGTACTAATACTAATAGTACAAATACTATATTTATGTATGTTTTGTAACACAATTTTCACTAATTCTGCTTCTACATTTTAACTTTGCTGGTGTTTTTGATGATGCCTTGCTGTGCTCATTCACTCTGCTCCCAGAGCACACGTGCCTGCTTGCACACACACACACACACACACACACACACACGCTACTGCCTCCAGGCAGTTAGACACAGAGAGGAGCACACACACTCAGAGCTACAGAGTTTCAACATTGTGATCTTAACTTTACACTATAAAATAACACTTTAAATGATGACAATGCAATTAATGATAACAATTTAGGCTGTTATGTTCTACAATTATTCTCAACAGTACGTGTGGCTGACTGAGGGAGTAAATATGAATCTTTCAAATGTTGGCACACAGGAATTTGTTTTAAAACTGTCACAGCCCTCATCACACTGTTTATGTTGTAAAGTGCATTTAGCATTCTAGTCAGAAATGTAACATACTGTATGTGTTTAAAAGCAGGAGCTGGAGCTAAAAAAGCTTTTTCTATTTACAGTTAGGATTACATATTGGTTCTGTAAATCTGTAAATGTACTTTATTTGTCACATACACATACATGTGAAACATAGCGAAATTCATCCTCTGTATTGAACCCTTCCCTGAAGGGAGCAGTGGGCAGCAACTGTACAGCGCCCAGGGACCAACTCCAGATTGAAATGCAGTGACTTTTGCACAGTGCACTGACTGGAGAACCTACCTAACACGTTTTGATAGTGGGGGAGTGCACCCGGAGAAAACCCACGCAGACACGGGGAGAACATGCGAACTCCACACAGAAAGGCGGAGACAACTGGGGTTCAAACTAAAAAGTTTAGTATCATAAAATACAAATAAAAACACACCGTAAGTAGAAATACTGCAGGTTGTCCCAGGATAATCAAACGCTCTATTGTAATTAATCTTTAGCACCAAATATAGTAGGCTATGTGTCCTGAGAAACAAAGTAGAAGCGATCTAAATACAAAAAAAAAATGCAGGTCCATCTGTGGGCATTGAAACAAACTATTTGCCATCAACGAAAATTGTGAAGGTGAGATAATAGAACGTGTTTAACAGGTTGTCATCCTGCAATTTTTGTGCAATTGAAGCTGTAGTTACTTCAAAACATGCAGCTTCTCAGATAAGAGATGTTTGTCGAGCACCAACTCTGAGGCTGTTGGCGTTGAAAGGAGTATGAAAAGAGCGCACCTTCCTCTTGTTCATCCACTTCACCAACCAATCTGTGGCATCAAGTTACAGTACATAGGTTGGAACATATTCAAAATAATTACATTTACATATATTTAAATGTTTTAAATCTAAATTGAATAAAATTAATTTATATATAAATATATTTTGAAATATATTCAACAAATATTTACATATATTAATTGCACTTATATGTAAATAAGTGTAGTTCCTTATCTATGCAAATACAGTAATGTGTAATATCTATGTATGTTTCAACTCCTGGAATGTTAATATATATATGTAAATCTATTTTTAAACATATATTCAAATATTAAATTTATGCTCCTTTTTAGTATGTCACATATATGTAGATAAGCTTAAATATGTTTCATAGAATATATTCACGTGTTTTTTCACACTTTGTGAAAAAAAATCAGTTCTCCATATATGTAAATACATTCATTTTATTTACATTTATTAATTTATAATATAACCTCCCCCCATGAACAGTTAGCAGGCATTTAAAAACATTTTCCAGACAAATCAAATAGATCCAGTTGATATAAACTACATTTGCTTGCATTTGAACATTGAATGTTTTCAGAAGGTACATGGCACACTTACTACTACACATACACAAAAAATGTGTGTACCAAAAATACACAGACAGTATTGTAGCATGTCTACTTATGATTTTGACGTATGAGGATTAATACAAATTATGAATTTTAATATTTAGAGAATATTAATTCATAAAGCTCTCGTTTCACGGGGCACCACCGGGTATATAATTCACCCAGAGTCTCCGGACCTCTGGGTAGCATTTTAATAATTACACAGTTATTCACTAGTGATCAGTTAGTTAATAATCGCTCAATTATCTTAAATCAATCAGTCAGTCTCATATCGAAGTGGAAAGAGACTTGGAGTTAGACAATACACACACAATTCCTGTGATTACGGTGAAATTTATTAACTAACTA